GATCAACGCAATTGGGATACGATGACATGCATCAACCAAGTCAGCGAGCCTGACCACCCGATCCTGTTAGTCGCCTCTTACGACAAGCAGAGTCGCCTTTTACGGCAAGCTTGGGTCGCTGAAGATTTATTCTACCCCGGATCTTCACGGCTCATTTTCATTGAGGGATTTTGATGATTTTCTGTTTTTCCCGAAACAGTTTCTCTCCTTCAACAGCCAGTCATGACTTACTAAACATATTTAACAACAGCCTGCTACTTCTAAAGATTCAATATGCATGTGCATATTAAACACTCATTTATACGTGTATGTGAAAGCAATTGTACTCATCCATATGCATATCAAACAGACCTGGGCGTTTTATAGCTTGAATATTGCTGAGTATAGCGTTAACCATCTATGCAAACATCTATGGTCTAGATTTACATGGATAGCTGTCTCTGTTATGACAACGCTTTCCGGTACATCATGTCTCGCCCGAATCTTTTGGAAAGATGCAATTGTTCGACTCTTTCCGCTGGACTGTGACTACAAAAATGAGAATAAAGCTCATATTTCTCGTGATATTGCCCCTACCCATGGGCTTAATTCACGTGCCTACTTCAACCCACTAAAACCTACTGCACCTATCAGTCTTCACAAATTACATTGTTTATTGCATTATTTATATGAATTACCTTTAGTTAAAAGTTAATTGGTTGAATAAGTTTGGTTTTATGACGCTAATAGTTTTTACAAACTGTGATGTTTTACAAAGTTTACCATGCCTATATATCACAAACATCAACTCAAATGATCAAATGTTGAGCATCAAATATGTGTATTTCCAAGGATTCTTGTGTTACCTGCATAAAGTGTGACACCTGTTTCTAAGCAACTCTTCACGTGTCGTGCGGGCACAACTCTTCCTCTTGATCGTCCATGTATGTCAGCAACAGAGAAGCGGACATAGTCGTACTTGTTGATGTGATCAGTCATCGTGGTGTACTGATCGCAGACGGTGAGCTCACATTCACATCACGTATCATTTATGTATTAGACATCATGGATGACTGATTCTTGTCAGGCATTTCAAACTTCCGTCACGTGTCATTTATATATGTGCATTTATACGTCGAGCGCAGGACGAATTACGACTGATCACCGCTCTATGTTTTCACGCGTCGATTTCCAAATTGAAACAATATGTAAACCCCCAGAAATATATAATACGTAAAAGAATTTAGTGTAAAACCAACAAACAACCAACAAGTGGTTTACAATCAACAAATGTATTACAAAATTCACAAGGTTTATAAATCAATACAACTTAATGCACAGCCATTACATTGGCAGTACAGTATACAATAGTGTAATGTAAGGCACCAATCTTCGAACTCAATCTAGACAAGTTCCTCTCAGAAAAGCATGCAAACTTTCATCCATCATTTGTAACTTCAGTAGTATCTGAGAAAACCCCATTTCATGGAGTATGCACTTAGTTGAAAAGCACAGAGGAAGAGCCCTTACTCTGTAAAAAATGAATTTAAGACAATTTTCACAAATTTCATTTCAGATCCTGACCAGTAACAGTGTGTAAAATTTCATTTTTCTATCTTAAATTTATAGTTTTTGAGAACATATGTCTCATTGAGAATCGGACGGACAAACCCCGTTCATATATCACCAGCCACACTTCATGCCGGGTATAATAATTCGTGTCAGCATACAATTTTACTTGACATCGTTGAATTACATAATAATCTTGCTACTGGCCAATACAGCATCGTCTTTTGTTTGTTAACGAGCCATGTTGGAATCGTTGGCAACACGAAGGCTGATGCTGCAGCAAAGCAGCACTCATGAATCTGTGACACCACTTCCGATACCATACAGTGATAATAAACCTGTGATTAAATGTTACACTACAGATCTAATCTAAAAGAAGAGGGACACCCAAGTACATGTAGGTATAAATAAATAACTATATGAAATTAAACCGATTGCCGGTTACACCTACTTGGGTTGTCAGTCCAGATTTAATATGTATCGTATCGTATGGGCCATTCACGTTACACACATGAATATTTGTTGAAAGTCGAGGATCCTCTATTCTGTATCCCCTGTGATGTGAAAATCTCATTTAAGCGTGCGACTGTATTGATCTTTCCACCACAGGGTTGAAAATATGTTATTTATAAATTGGTAGTAGATGATAATAAACTGAGCGGTTAGCGGTTGTGGGGATCGAAATAGTGTAGGCAGCAAATGTTCCAAAATCCTTAGCATTGTGGCCTCGCTTTGTTTTTTTGTAATTGTGAACTATAGGTCATTTTTGTATTGTAAAATTATGTTATAGTTTAATTTGTAAATGTTCTAAACGTAGTTTTAAAGTAAAAACTGTTATTATTATTCTGTCCTTCGATGACATTGTTATTACCATAGATGCATAACTTGTTCAAGTCACGATATGGCTGAAATACTGCCGATGTGACTCACTCACAAACAATGGAACCATGATCAAATTAAGATCTGATCAGAGATCTGTATAAGTGCCTGAGTGTTGTCTGATCCTCTGAGAAGACATTCAACAAGGCAGAGTTGTCATTTAGTCTTATGCCCGAGAAGATCCGGGGTAGAATAGGTCTTCAGCAACCCGTGCCTGCCGTAAAAGGCGACTATGCTTGTCGTAAGAGGCGATTAACAGGATCGGGTGGTCAGACTCACTGACTTTGTTGATGCATGTCATCGTATCCCAATTGCGTGGATCGATGCTCATGATGTCAATCACTGGATTGTCTGGTCCAGACTCGATTAATTACAGACCGCCGTCATATAACTGGCATATTGCTGAGTGTGGCGTTAGACATCAAACCAACCAACCAATCTTATACATTTACAATGGGGAGAATACGTCAAACAGATCCCAAGAATTTTCTACAAAATTAATAGGAGTGCAATCTAAATGCAGTTTTTCTTTTGCTATATATCTTTGACAGAAAATTCATACAATTTGGGCTTTTGAAAACGTAAAGCCATTTTCAAGTGACCATTTCCGATTGTTATTAAGACGCAGCTGTAATTGTCTTTCGACAGTCTCAAGCATATTGTTGCCACGACATATAATATTACAATCCTCTACGAATAGGGACCCATTGAGTCATCTGATACTTTTGACACCACTGTTGATTTTTATTTTGAACATGGAGACATACATTCTTATATTGAAACTGAACTTGATTAAATGAATAGCATGGTAACAGCATTGCCAACATATATGCATCATCTTTGATTGATTCTGTTTAAAAAAAGTAAGTGAGTATGGTTTTACGTCGCTTTTAGCAATATTTCAGCAATATCACGGCGGGGGACACCAGAAATGGGCTTCACGGATTGTACTCATGCCGGGTAATGAAATCGTGTCTTCGGCGTGACGAGCGAACGCTTTAACCTCTAGGCTACCCGACCGCCCCATTCAACAATGAAAAATACAGTGTTGTAGGATAATGTTATAAATAAATATTTAGGCTCAATGTCTTAATAAAAATAATAGCAGACATCCCCCAAACCCACCCCAGAATACCTTACCCTTCCCGCTCATTATTCTTGTATAAGGGATGACCTGTGGCCTGTGATATCCATGAGTGTAGTTATCCACCCGTAACGCTTGACAACACGGATCTGATACAATAATATTCTAAATATATGTCGGCAGTCCCCTTCTTTCTATTCGTACACTGAAACTTGTTACACGAGCTTTATGACGTGTATCTTTCCTATGGGAAATGCGTGAGTGAGTTGAGTTTAATGCCGATTAGAACAGTATTTAGCTTCTGGGGGACAGCCAGAATTGATGCAGGTCTTAGACGCTTTCCACTTTGGTGAAACCCACGAACACGGGTACCGTGCTGAAAAATCTAGAAACTTTATCAGTGCAAACCGGATTCGAACTCATGGTCATAGGTTGCTGGCGTGCCCAAGGGACGCAACTCTGCAAGGTGAATTGCGGCGACTTAGACCACTGGGCAACCCGTGCACCTTTCAAATGGGGTAGTTTGAGATATCATTGCATATCTTATCAACATCCATATCCTTATTCGCAGTGCTTACAAACCATTCAATAAATTCCTCCCCCAAACTGTGGATCATATCTGTATCTACCCTAAGTTCCTCAATAGCATCTGACAGAGTGTGGGGAAGACAACATTGTGTTGAGAATTCGTCTACAGCAGGACATTCCAGCTTATTCACAATCCCATCAAGACCTGCAGCTATGGTTGCCGCCAGAGTGATGTAGGGGTTGCTCATCCCACTGGGAATGCGATTTTCAATATAGGTCCCAGCATCCATAGACTTGACTTTAACGCAAGCAGAGCGTTTATCAGTACTCCAGTAGATGAGTCCAGGAAGATTGGGCTTGTGCAAACGATCGTAACAGTTGCTGGTCGGGCAATAAAATGCAGTCAGAGACTTTGCATGTTTCATGAGACCGGCCAGCCAGTGTCTTCCTAAAGTGCTGAGACCATGGTCACTGTTAGGATCGTGGAACACATTGACGCCACCAGATAAGGACCAAAGAGAATGGTTAAAATGCATTCCTACTCCGCCACATTCTTGCATGGAGTTGAAACTAACCGAATAATCTTTCTTATCCCCTATTTCTAGAATTCCGTTCTTTAAGGTAATGCACGAATCAGCACTTTTGATGCCATACGACGGTTGGAGTACCAGCTCAAACAATCCTTTTTGCCACTCTGAATGGAAAGAGCCTATGTCGACACCTGCTTGGTGCATGTGTTTTTCAAGGTAAAACAGAAAATCCCCATGTTTGCTTATTAATCTTTGCCGCATGTAATCTGGTTCAAGGGGATACCGTCCGCCAGCCCGTTTCAGTGTAAATTCAACTTCATATCCAGAAAAGAGGCTAAATCCATAATTGGCCAATATTTCTAACTGTCGTCTTGCAACATATCGAGGACACGCAAGTTGTGTCGATCCATCCTTTAACCAGTAGCTCTCACAGATAACCTCAGCCACCTTGATGTCGTCATTACCACACCAAGGTACATTATATAAGGTACTGAGATCAGGTAGTGTATAGGCCTTAGGCATTCTGCCATCATTGAACTTGTCTGATGGAAGGGTGAAGTCATTATGGAGTCCAAAGGACAAGAAACCTGAAAAATATGCAAAGGAATCAGTAAGAACCGGACAATCAATGCTGATTTTTTTTCTCCCATTTATGTGATTTAAAAACGGTAAGACTTTTTAAAATATCATCTTCCTTATTAAGCAGTCACCCTCTTGCAATCGAAACGGATAAACTGTGCCATGACACTGTGTGACATTGGACACCGCACGCACTTTTTATGAAGCCGAAGTAGCCAATGTGGAAGAAGGGAGTAACATAAGTTATTATAGCTGGCAATTCTGGAATACTGCTTTGAAGGCCAAACTGTCGGTCACCATGTGAAAACATGAAAATAGCCGTTGCTGGTGTGGTTCCGATACACTGTTTCAAGTGACAGCAACGATTCCCGGAAAAAAGAGCTGACTAACGAGGATTAGGTGGCCACAATGTGAACTTAGCTGATTGTGGATATTGCTCATGCTATCAGCCACTGGCCTGCCTTGCCCAGACTTGATTATTCACAGCAAACTCATTTGTCTATTTACATGGTCGCTTGGTGACACCTCGTTAACACCATCAATTTGTCTATTCCTGTCTTGTTGGCAATAATTTATTATCAGTTTGTTGGAAAAGTAATGATTTTCTAAATTCTCTGAATCACAACTATGCCCATTCTCTACGCCTTACTAAACAACTGTAGGTACAACCTGTTACAACTAAAGATTCAATATACATGTACATATTAACCACATATCTGAACGTACATGCAGAAGCAAAAATATTACTCATCCATAAGCATATTCTCAGCGGTTATGTGGCTTGAATTTGGCGACAGCGGCATGAATGTGCAAAAGAAAGGCATATGTTCAGGACTGACAAAGTCAGCAGACATGCAGTTGACAGAAAGGCATGCGAAGCTCGTCCTTGTTACGACTGTGCGTCACGATGCATCTTATCTGATTCAAAGGAACCACTTTGTAGGTGAATTTAAGCAATATGTATTCTGACTTCACAATCCAGTTCATTCTTCTCGTGATATATATTCGCGACTCTATCATTGGTCTTCAGTCAGTGCCTACATCGACCCTCTAAAACCTTTAATCAATCTTAGTAAATAATATCCTATGCAAACCGGGTTCAAACTTAACTTCCGACCATAATACATTGAGGCCTGGTTTGAGACATATAGAAAGCCCTTAAAAATGTGCACTCGACAAAATCACAAAAAACAAATCCGTACCGTCAATCTTATGACTTTATAGCCATTTCTTTATAGGACATTTGATCTGAGAGGAAAATATTCCCAAACTCCAATCACGTTTTTGAGAGCCTTTGGGTATTACCGCTGTGATTGCATACCCGAAACTAGTGTCTTGACCTATTTCAAGGGATTCATTTGAGTATTTCCGATACGACCACAATATTTGGGCAAACCCCTACTGTCCTCAGGATATGAACTCGAAAAAATGTTTTTTGCTTTATCAGCAAAGTGTGAAGGAATTGGATTTTATTGCGTGAATATTTTCTTACTGTATATACAATGCACATACATACAAATATGAATTCACACGATTAAATAGTCTCGAACAAGTTTGTGTTACCTGCATAAAGTGTGACACCTGTCTCCAAGCAGCTCTTCACGTGTCGTGCGGGCACAACTCTTCCTCTTGATCGTCCATGTATGTCAGCAACAGAGAAGCGGACATAGTCGTACTTGTTGATGTGATCAGTCATCGTGGTGTACTAATCGCAGACGGTGATGTCACATTCACATTACGCATTAGCTTATATATGTCGGATATATGCATTCCATGATGTAAGTTTGAAATAAATTTCCCGTTTGAATTATTTATGGGATATGACAAGATATGCTGATTCCTTGTCGAAACAGCTGCCATAACTGTAGGTCGACAGCACTGTTGAGTAATTGTGAAGGCGTCAAAAATTGCACCATATGGAAAGTTTCGAATGCGTACTTTGGACAGTCCAGTCGTTTCATGATAGATGTATTGTCAGCTGTGCAATTTATGATAAATGTATGAAACTTGGCATGATGATAGATATCTTTGATCTTTTGATACTGATGTCATTGTTTTGGCCATTGCATTGTTCGACAGAATATATACTACCTCTGGATAGCTTTTAGAACTGGCAAATTATTCAGATATTTGGCTGTTCGTGACATTGTTAGACTCCTTGGTCCTTTCACTCCAGCTTTTCATGCAATTACTGGCTGTGACCAGACATTTTCCTTTGCTGGAAAACGCGAAAACCAGCATAGGAAACATGGAACGTGTATTGATGAAGCAACATAGGCTTTCAATCGCAATGGTGATATACCAACCAAACAACACGTGAAGAACATGATGCCCGTCACTGGCCGTTTTGTCGTCTTAATGTATGAACGGGTCAGTATCTGTACAGGAGTGGATGAGGCATGCAAAGAATTATTCACTGAGAAAGGTACAGCAATTTATTCCCTTTGTGGTTTGCACAACCACAAGCGTCTAAGTCATGCAGGAGCTTCTGGGATGTAGTTGTAAGTCTGCAGAATAAGGTCATGTTTTGTGGCACAGTTCACTTTCATCACCTGACGAGTCATACATCATTATGTACATATCATAACCTGATTGAATATAAATGTGACATAACTAGATTTATTGTATGTGTATTTGTTCCATATATTTATTCACAGAAGTACATCTTTACACACAAATTGAATATATCCACACAGATGCACACGAGATCTGATGAAGCAGGCTAGCAAAGTTGGTACATGAAGAAGATGAGTATACCCTGACAGATCGGAGGGGAGAAGATAGTCCATCTTGCGACCTACAGATGTTTCAGTGTGTATGGCCTTGTTAAATTCCACCCCATGCTGTCGTTTCACATCTGCAAGATAACAGACAGGGTCTCCTTAACGCCGATGAGGATCTTATCGTTATAGGATGAATATCGGCGAATATCCCCGTGACAAGTCGTGAATGTCGGCCGTGTTTTGCGACTTCATCCCTCACCTGTGACGGTTTTCACATCCTACTTTCTCGTGACGTTAAGATTAACCCTAGCCTGAGCCTGTTACTATGAAAGATTTGAGATGGTTGGAGTCTATCAAATAGACACAGATGCACTCTATCAGAAAGTTAATCTGTTTCTGTATGTATATGAATCAGAATTTCTACTTGGGGAGGCAAAGCCCAAACAAGTAATTTGGCAACGAAGTTTAACTCATAGTTCAGGTATATCGATGATCTGATATCGTTCAAAAAACATCAAATAGCCAATTCCTTTCCAATGATTTACCCACCTGAACAAGAAATAAAGGAGACCAGTCAGACCGCATCATATGTTTCATATTTAGATCTATGCATAAAGATTCAGAGTGAAAAAAACATTCTCCACAAGACTGTGTGACAAAAGGGATGACTCCAACTTTCCAATAGTCAACTTTACCTTCATGTCGAGCAATATTCCAACAGCTACAGCCTTTGGTGCTTACATTTCATAGCTTCTGAGATACAACCAAGCATGCTCTTTCTACTAAGATTTCACAAGTTGTTTGATCAAGGTTACAACATTCAAAGCCTCAGTAAAGCTTTCAAAAAGTGTGGAGGACATTTCCGATGCAATTCATTATTTTGACTTGCACCATATGTTTTTTTTCAGGTGAACAATTGACTTGCCTTTGCATGTGTTTGTGACGGGTGGCAAAGGGGGCAGGATACGATCACCTTTTCGCGAACACCTGGTATCATCAATATTTACAAGTGATTCACAAACACATTTTCATACTGTCGACTCTGCTTTATGCAGAGATTTCTATTGGATATGGAAAGGCTTTTGTCGCTTTATATATTATTATTATTATTATTATTATTATTATTATTAATATTATTATTATTATTTAAAGATTAAAACTATAAAAATGCAGCAGAGAGGGTTTGAGTGTAAGCTCTTGCTTTTTGTGCTACGTAGTAACTACGCCACAACACAGTGAATCGTCCAAGATCGGGAAGTCCTCATATCATCACAGCAGTCAACAGAACTTAATGAAAGATATGTTTCATATATTTATTGGATTCTCGGACTGATGAGCACGTAAAATCCCTTAAATGGTGCCAAATGACTTGCCCAGTGCGATTACAAAGACCATGTGTAGTAAAAGGAAGTGAGTGAGTCCAGGTTGGTTGGTTTGTGGTTTAACGCCGCGCTCAGCAATATTCCAGCTATATGACGGCGGTCTGTTAATAATCGAGTCTGGACCAGACAATCCAGTGATTAATATCATGAGCATCGATCCACGCAATTGAGATCGATGACATGCATCAACCAAGTCAGCGAGCCTGACCACCCGATCCCGTTAGTCGCCTCTTACGACAAGCATAGTCGCCTTTTACGGCAAGCATATGAGAGAGAGAGGGAGAGAGAGGGAGAGAGAGATTATGGACGTCAACTTCTTTAGCATGTATACACGACGTCATTTCGGAGTATATGCTTACGCCTCTTGAGTGAGTGAGTTGGTTTTAAAGCCACTTTGAACAGTTCAAGTCATGTCACAGCGGTTGAGCTTGATGTAGGACGGTCCGAAGTGTTGCAAGTCTCAGACGATTATCCCTTAAGTGAAACCAATCAACACGGCATGGTGCTGACAAACCTAGAAACAATTTGGGCGAATCGGAATCGATCCCTCGATCATGTGGGCGCAAACTGCACAACGGCGCTTTAGACGACTGGACCGGCCGTATCATGCAAGAGCTCTGTTTCAATAGTATGTGATATTCGACTGTACTATGTAAGACAGAGCTGAAAAGTGGAGCAGTTTCGAGCGACATTGTGGATATTTACCAATAATGTTCGGCAGCTAGTCCTCTTCTTTACCATTTGAAAGGTCATCGTAATATTTGTATTGCCAATGTGAATGAGATTGTTGTCAGCTAAATAATCTTGGCCAGACAAATCAGTGGATGATATTATGTCCAACGTCCAACACCGTCGTAGTACGATGACAGAAAGCCCAACCCCACGATCCAATTTAGTCTCATTCAATAAGTAATAAGAGTACAGGGGACGTATTCTAAACCGGGCATGGTATTTTGAAAATAAATAAGTTAAGTAATGAACATGTTAGTTCAATAATACTTAACACCATTGTGTATATACATGTATATATATCATATCTTCACCAATTTCTGTTATTTGTGTAAGCCTTAGATCACATGTGGGTGTTATTAAATTTCATAGGATGGCGATCCGAACTACACCGGTATATTTTGGGATTAAAATTATTTATATATAACATTGTTATTATGTATATGACATAAAATGCTGAATCAGCGCAATGCGCGGCCTTTTTAATCAGTCTCGTGTTTATCTGTCCTCAAACTGAAGCCTAATCCAAGCCTAAAGAGTTCACGATCCACAGGTTCTCGGTTCTCAGGCTGTCCATAGAGAAGTTATGGCACTAATACTCTGTTTCATATTGGGGTCGATGTTTACAGGTGAGCAAATACAAACTATTGCTTAATTTAGAGCTTAGTTATTGACATTTGTTTTTTTTAAAAACAGGGTTGAATGAGAAAACAATTCATGATTTGATCCACCGTCAATAAAATATTCACACAACTAATTCGCAAAGATATTATGTTGTCAATTAATAACCAAACATGTAAAATGTTCGCCTACGGATAACCTTCGATATAATATGAGCAGGTGTATGTATCTATCTGTATTTGATGAATTGTTAGGGGCCGGCCATTTGAGGGGATGGGAGTGGGGTTTAGGAGTGGTAGTTCTCGATACAGCTGAATAAAAATGTGTCATCTTAACCTGGACAATCTGGATGTTGTGGGCCATATCATGTGGAACATACTGCTCATTACATCGCCAATACGAGGGCCATTCAATATATAACCAGCCTAACCTATTTGCTACTGCTCCTCACTTCTTCTTTTTCCACATAATCACCATTGAGGTCTATGCACTTTGTCCAGCGATGTGTGAGAGCTAAAAGCCCGTTGTGATAGAAACCATGGGGTCGTAAGTTCATCATCGGACCGGAAATGACGTCCACGCAGTTCTTTCTTCAAGTTTGGGAAGAGAAAGTAGTCGCTTGGTGCCAGGTCTGGTGAGTAAGGTGGATGAGGCAATACTTTGAACCCGTTCCGCTTCACTGCGGCAAGTCGACAGGTGTGCACTCTGGCATTATCATGTTGGAGCAGCACACCTTTTGGGATCTTTCCACGACGTTTGGCAAGAATAGCAGTCCGCAAACCGTCCAGGAGATCGGAGTAGTACTCTCCAGTAATAGTCTGGCCACGTGGCAAGTAGTCAATGAGCAAGACCCCTTTGGTATCCCAAAAGATGGGTGCCATGACTTTGCCAGCCGATGGTTGAGTCTTAAACTTTTTGGGACGGGGTGAAGCAAAGCCAGTCCACTGCTTACTCTCTTCTTTGGTTTCTGAGTCATAGTGGTGTACCGAGGTTTCATCACCTGTAACAATTCTCTCCATAAAGTTGTCTGCATCCCCACTGCATTGCGTCAAAAGTGCCTGACACATTGACGCACGTGCAGCCTTCTGATCATCACTCAGACATTTCGGGACCCATCGGGCAGACAGCTTCCTCATATCCACACGATCATGCAAAATGGTATGGACATTTACCCTCTGAAATGTCCAAGGCCTTGGCCATTTCTGACACCTTCATTCGCCTGTCTTTGACAACCAGTTGTCTCACAGTTTCACTGGTTTGGTCATTGGTCACCTCTACAGGCCTTCCAGGGCGTGGCTCATCTTCCAGGTTCACCCGACCCCTCTTAAATTCTGCAACCCAGAATTTGACCTGTGCATACGAAGGTGCACTGTCACCATAAACATCTGACAATTCATCATGTATCTCCTTTCCCGGTTTCCCTTTAAAGTAGAGGTACCTAATAACAGCCCTGAATTCAACCTTTGACGAAAATTTGGCAGAATCTACCCTTGCTATCTTTATAGATCACGTGTGTGACTTCAAATACAATTTCCTCAGTGAAACTTTGTCTATGCACGTGACATACATTGGTGCACAGCACGTGACAAGCATGCAACCGTTAAGATCTGATAAATATCGCAGGATAAAGTACAACTTGAGCCTTTGATCTTTAAGCAAAGTATTTTAGAATGGTTGTTATTGTTTGTACTGCTTGTTATCATTGAAGCTTTGACATGTGTCTGGTGTCCGGTTTGAGATATGTGCTTTACTAAAAGTTGTGCTGTAAAAAGGCATTGGGTAGGATTTAAAAAAAAACTTTCAGTTTAACTACTGAATCATTGCCTGAATGACAGAGACAACATTCTGTATTAGCTGTTTGACCCATACGTCAAATACAAGGACAAGAAGACCAAGTAAATAAGCATTTCTCTCAAAATTCTCATATTGCAAAGGCCCTTTGGCCTATTCCACAAAAGCAATATCAGCTCTATTGCTATTGTAAGTCTATGTCAACGTTCGGGGGATAGGACAGTCGTTTTTCTAAGATCGCCTAGTGGAACGGATCTCTGAAGGCCCAGAGACTCATACACATTTGCATTTCGTTAGTTTGCATTTTTTCTGCAACGGGACAAAGACAGGTCATCCTCAAACTACAATGTCCGTATGCATATCCACACCTGCGACAGTCTAAGCTCTGGTAGATGCAACACTTGTGCTTAGACGTATGTGATAATGATCGGTAAACTTACTTGCTCGATTACCAAGGCAACATGATGCGTACGTATTATGTGCCTTTACATCTTCAATTACAGGGATATTCAGTGATGTGGATTCTCCAGGGTGTGGTACAAATAGTGTCGGTTTTGATTACTCAACCCTTCCTAAAGGAAACAACAAACGAATTGTTGGAGGGCAAATAGCAACACCTCATTCGTTTCCATGGATGGTAAGTACAACAATAACTCATTCTGATCTCTTATATGAAGTACTAAACCTATCTAAAGGAAAGGGAAGGATCATATACTGCCCCACCGGTTACACGCTGGAAACGACACTGCATTAAAACACGCTGGAAACAACCGATTTCAGTAAAACTCGCTTGAAACAACCGATTACAGTAAACCACACTGGAAACAACCGATTATAGTAAAACACGCTGGAAACGTCACTGCATTAAAACACGCTGGAAACAACCGATTACAGTAAAACACGCTGGAAAAGACACTGCATTAAAAACACGCTGGTAACAACCGATTACAGTAAAACACGTTGGAAACGACACTGCATTAAAACGCGCTGGAAATGACACTGCATTAAAACACGCTGGAACGACCGATTACAGAAAAACACGCTGGAAACAACCGATTACAGTAAAACACGCTGGAAACAACCGATTACAGTAAAACACGCTGGAAACAACCGATTACAGAAAAACACGCTGGAAATGACACTGAATTAAAACACACTGGAAACGACACTGCATTAAAACACGCTTGAAACAACCGATTTCAGTAAAACACGCTGGATACAACAAATTACAGATAAACATGCTGGAAACAACCGATTACAGTAAAACTTGCTGGAAACGACACTGCCTTAAAACACGCTGGAAACAACCGATTACAGTAAAACATGCTGGAAACGACACTGCATCAAACACACTGGAAACAACCGGTTTCATCAAAACACACTGAAAACAACCGATTGCATTAAAACACGCTGGAAACAACCGATTACAGAAAAACAACTGGAAACGACACTGCATTAAAACACGCTTGAAACAACCGATCTAGCAAAACACGCTGGAAACAACCAATTACAGTAAAACACGCTGAAAACAACCGATTACAGTAAAACACGCTGGAAACGACACTGCATTAAAACACGCTTGAAACAACCGATCTAGCAAAACACGCTGGAAACAACCAATTACAGTAAAACACGCTGAAAACAACCGATTACAGTAAAACACGCTGGAAACGACACTGCATTAAAACACGCTTGAAACAACCGATTACAGTAAAACACACTGGAAACAACCGATTACAGTAACACACGCTGGAAACGACACTGCATTAAAACACGCTGGAAACAACCGATTACAGTAAAACACACTGGAAACAACCGATTACAGTAAAACACTCTGGAAACGACACTGCTTTAAAACAACGGTGGAAGAGATATCGCATTAATAACCCTGAACAAAACATAATATAAAAACATGCTGGATGTAAAAATTTAATCGGTAGATTAAATGTGCTTCCTGCCTTATTTTGTCTTGGACTTTAGAAACCGTCAATGACGAATAATATTAAACATTATAAGTCTTTACCTTTTTTATTAAAATGGAACTTGTTTTGTCTGTATCATTTTTGCACAGAGGTCATGTACGATAACTGAAACCATTAGACTTCCATGTTCGCCAGAATGCCAGACTATTATTATATAATAATGCGAAACTTTCGTTTGTGTCAAGAAAAGAATCTGTTCAACAACCAATTATCCGTTTGTTAATGGTAATCTGCAATTTAAGGGTTCATGGATACAGGACTATGGCATAGGTGTTTTCTAAAACATACACTAATTTCATCATGTTTTCTAACACGTTTCTTACACCAAAGGTTGCTTTGAAGTATCGAGGTGTGTTCGTGTGTGGAGGATCTCTGCTGAAAGGTTCCTCTAACAAGTGGTATATCCTTACAGGGGCTCACTGTCTCCAGTAAGTAAAGAACCTCTAGAAAGTGGTACATTGTATATTCTCACGGGGGCTCACTGTCTGCAGTAAGTAAAGTAACCTCTAGCAAGTGGTACATTGTATATACTCACGGGGACTCACTGTCTCCAGTAAGTAAAGAACCTCTAGCAAGTGGTACATTGTATATACTCACGGGGGCTCACTGTCTGCAGCAAGAAAAGTAACCACTAGCAAGTGGTACATTGTATTTACTCAGGGGGATCACTGTCTCCAGTAAGTAAAGTAACCTCTAGCAAGTGGTACATTGTATTTACTCAGGGGGATCACTGTCTCCAGTAAGTAAAGTAACCTCTAGCAAGTGGTACATTGTATATACTCAGGGGGATCACTGTGTGCAGTAAGTAAAGTAACCTCTAGCAAGTGGTACATTGTATATACTCAGGGGGATCACTGTGTGCAGTAAGTAAAGTAGCCTCTAGCAAGTGGTACATTGTATTTACTCACGGGGGCTCACTGTCTCCAGTAAGTAAAGTAACCTGTGGCAAGTAGTACATTGTATTTACTCACGGGGGATCACTGTGTGCAGAAGGTAAAGTAACCTCTAGCAAGTGGTACATTGTATATACTCACGGGGACTCACTGTCTCCAGTAAGTAAAGAACCTCTAGCAAGTGGTACATTGTATATACTCACGGGGGCTCACTGTCTGCAGCAAGAAAAGTAACCACTAGCAAGTGGTACATTGTATTTACTCAGGGGGATCACTGTCTCCAGTAAGTAAAGTAACCTCTAGCAAGTGGTACATTGTATTTACTCAGGGGGATCACTGTCTCCAGTAAGTAAAGTAACCTCTAGCAAGTGGTACATTGTATATACTCAGGGGGATCACTGTGTGCAGTAAGTAAAGTAACCTGTGGCAAGTAGTACATTGTATTTACTCAGGGGGATCACTGTGTGCAGTAAGTAAAGTAGCCTCTAGCAAGTGGTACATTGTATTTACTCACGGGGGCTCACTGTCTCCAGTAAGTAAAGTAACCTGTGGCAAGTAGTACATTGTATTTACTCACGGGGGATCACTGTGTGCAGAAGGTAAAGTAACCTCTAGCAAGTGGTACATTGTATTTACTCACGGGGGCTCACTGTCTCCAGTAAGTAAAGTAAACTCTAGCAAGTGGTACATTGTATATACTCAGGGGGATCACTGTGTGCAGTAAGTAAAGTAACCTCTAGCAAGTAGTACATTGTATTTACTCACGGGTGATCACTGTCTCCAGTAAGTAAAGTAAACTCTAGCAAGTAGTACATTGTATTTACTCACGGGTGATCACTGTGTTCAGTAAGTCAAGTAAACTCTAGCAAGTGGTACATTGTATTTACTCAGGGGGCTCACTGTCTCCAGTAAGTAAAGTAAACTCTAGCAAGTGGTACATTGTATTTACTCACGGGGGTTCACTGTCTGCAGTAAGTAAAGTAACCTCTAGCAAGTGGTACATTGTATTTACTCAGGGGGCTCACTGTCTCCAGTAAGTAAAGTAAACTCTAGCAAGTAGTACATTGTATTTACTCACGGGTGATCACTGTGTTCAGTAAGTCAAGTAAACTCTAGCAAGTGGTACATTGTATTTACTCAGGGGGCTCACTGTCTCCAGTAAGTAAAGTAAACTCTAGCAAGTGGTACATTGTATTTACTCACGGGGGTTCACTGTCTCCAGTAAGTAAAGTAAACTCTAGCAAGTGGTACATTGTATATACTCACGGGGGCTCACTGTGTGCAGTAAGTAAAGTAAAGTCTAGCAAGTGGAACATTGTATTTACTCACTTAACTCACTGTCTGCAGTAAGTAACGTAACCTCTGGCAAGTAGTACATTGTATTTACTCACGGGGGTTCACTGTCTCCAGTAAGTAAAGTAGCCTCTAGCAAGTGGTACATTGTATTTACTCACGGGGGCTCACTGTCTCCAGTAAGTAAAGTAACCTCTAGCAAGCGGTACATTGTATTTACTCACGGGGGCTCACTGTCTCCAGTAAGTAAAGTAACCTCTAGCAAGTGGTACATTGTATTTACTCACGGGGGATCACTGTCTCCAGTAAGTAAAGTAAACTCTCGCAAGTAGTACATTGTATATACTCCCGGGGGCTAACTGTGTGCAGTAAGTAAAGTAAACTCTAGCAAGTGGTACATTGTATATACTCAGGGGGATCACTGTCTCCAGTAAGTAAAGTAACCTCGCGCAAGTGGTACATTGTATTTACTCAGGGGGATCACTGTGTTCCGTAAACAATGATACTTCTAACAAGTGGTAAACTGTATAAATTTTATGTATCCCCTAAGACTGGAATAAGGAACGAATCGTTTAACAAACGTGCAGGGAGGTTTGAGGATAGTATTTGTTTTCTCTGAGAATGGTTGCCCGAAAACATGCTCTATGTTCCAGTGGATTAGTATCATCCGATCTGGAAGTCGTCCTTGGTGCTCATGACATGTCCATAAATGAACCTTCATCCGAGACCATCGCCATTAAGCAAACAATGAATCATCCCTTATTCAACCCCATCACGTTGGAATACGACACAGGTTTGATGGAACTGGCATATCCTCCTCAAATACAGCGACCAGAAATCAACTTTGGCTGTGTTGCTGCAAGCAAGCCCGTGTCTGGTGCCATATGCTATGTAATTGGATGGGGTACAACATCCGTAGGTACGGTTACTAGCGTGTAAAGGAAACAAAACAACGATTCATGATAAGATAAGGTGCTTAAATTGCTGACTAAATGGTTTGTGACATAATTCTCAGAACTGCTTTTCAGTTCGTAAGTTAATTCTGTTTTAGCACCTTTGCAGTAATGTTCCGGTTGGAACATTCAAAAGAAGTCTCTACGGCACAACAGGGACATGCTCCACTTCTGTATTATATCATTATGCTTGAGATTGACCAATCAGAGATCAGAACTACGAACCCAATATGAGCTTGTGTACTGTCAATAAAAATCCAAGATGGTTGTGCCTGACTTAATATGAGACCGTATACCGTCAGTTACAGCCATTTTTGATTTTCCAACACCAACCTAACTTATTACACATGAAGATTCTGGTAAACTGTTTTGTTTCGATGATATCATCAATCGCCATGGGCATTAATTTTTAAAGAAACCACGTTCGTAACTTTATTTTATTAAAATTATACAGAAGAAAGGCTCACGGCGGAGGTCACTGATTTACAAATAGCAACGTGATTTGTACATAATATAGTTTTCGGCATAATAACTTCGTTATGGTGTCTGTTGTTGCCGTGTACGGTGTCAAATTAGGTTAGCAGAAAAATATTGGGCTCCGATGCCATTCTCTATTTTGATCATATGTCCCCGTGTTTCCCTTTTAGGTGAACAAATGACTTGCCTTTGCATGTGTCTGTGACAGGTGCCACCACATTTTCGCAAACACCTGGTATCATTTATATTTGATAGTGATAGAGTCCAAATCGCACAATCGACTCTGCTTTTAACAGATATTTCTTATGAATGTGGAAAGGGTTTTTGTCGCTTGTATCTTGTTCTTATTACAATAGTTAATCTATCATGGCATGACCCTAATGATATGAAAGCATCTTGCTTTATGTTCTTTAACTTCACTTGAGTAGAATAACAATCGCAGAATATCATAGTGCTATAATTTAATACAGTAACTTAACTATTTATTGTAAAAGTTTTGACATTTTGAAAATTGGTCGTTGTTGTGTTTGCAGAAAGTGCCCCATCAGATATGCTACAAGTAGTGGAGAAGCCAGTCATGTCTCAGCAAACATGTGAAAGTATCTACGGTACTGACTATCACAACTCGTCCATGCTGTGTGCAGGCTACCCACAAGGAGGGAAGGATTCTTGCAAGGTTTGTGAAATAGCACCACACTAAAATATTCTAAGGTCTCATGTAGCTTCAATCATGGTTCGTGTCAACTCTGCAAAAACAGAGTGCCATTTGGCCTTCTAAAAAGTATTTCTCAACAATAAAAATAATTATATTTAAATTTATGTTTCCAAAAATTAAAAAATCTAATTTCACAATTTAGATCACATAAAGGCAAGAAACACGAACAAGTTGCTGGTCATCAGGATGGGTTACGTTTAACTGCAATTTATTAATTCACATATTCACAATATATTATAGAGACGGTTTTCTTTATCAAGATGTAGAAAAATTCAAGAAGGTATAGCCTATTTTGGGTTTTATTACATTTTATTACATAGACACCTACTTCGATGTCCCACCTCTTTTGCATTAGACCGCGTATGTATATTTTTACATACGGATAGGCTATCCAGGAGGGTATCTATCCATTAAAGGATACCCTGATGGATTTTCGTCGTGTATCCGCAAAGAATCGGATGGATTGAAACTTCTCTTTCGTTCCTGTGAGATTATTATCCTGACCAGCTTATCCTTGGACGTGTTCCTCGGAACTTAACGTTCCTTTTCATGGCTGTCCATTTCCATTCAATGTGCAGTTTGTTTAAATGTCTGTTTACAGTTAGATAGCGGAGGGCCGTTAATGTGCTACCAGAACAGCCGTATGGAAATTATCGGTATGTTTCTTGACATTCATTCTCATGGTCACATATTTAAATTCTTTCTAAAACTGCTTCCAGTGTCATCATCTGTGTTCATCTTACAGCGAGTCCTAAAGTACTGCATGTCCTCGCGAAGACAGAAGGAGAGTGTTTACCCTACCTTACATCCTTGAATAAGCTGCTACCAAAACTGTTAACGACGGACGGACGAAGGATAACGAACCACGACATATGCTTTCAGTCCGGTCAGATAATTATGACTCCTCTTTGCTAAAACACAAACGCTGGGGATACGGGCCTTCCGAAATATATTAACTGGCGCTTATTCAAGGATGTGCGGTATATTTGAACCGGGTTTCAAACATGAGTAGAATGTGAACATCCCAACGTTAATGTCGAATAGTACGACTACAATGCTACAACGCAAGCTGTATTCATTGTTGAGTGAGTGAGTTAAAATTTTACATCGCATCGGCAGTATTGCATCCATATCGCGATTATTCATTGTTGAACATGTCTATGTTTGTACATAAATTTCAGAAGTAAAAGTACATGTAACTAATTTCCATCCCTGCAGGTACCGTCAGCTGGGGCTTTGGCTGTGCAGAGCCAAATTCACCAGCTGTTTACGCCAGTACCCTGAGTACCAGGCAGTGGGTTGAGAAGACAATAAATGCATAAAGACAAACTGGTATTTGAGTTGTAATAAACTATCGGAAACTGCCCATTGGTTAGATTTGTTATTTTGCAAAATCAAGTAAGATACTGGTTAGATAAACTAAAAGAGAGAGTATTTGCATATATGAGAAAAACCAAGCCCATGGATTTGTGCTGATGAGAAGTGAGTCGTGTTGACATTGCAGCTGCTGACAGCTTGAGCTGAAATGTAATAAAACATTGTTATGTTAATTCTCATAGGGGAATTCAATGGAATACATTAATTTAAATATATGTAACAAAACAGTCAATCTATTTTCCATCATGAACATCTGCCATTCTATCCTGTCAAAGGGGTCGATCTATTCATTCGAAACCTTACCACCCATTATCTGTTTCTGTGGCTCGAATATTGCCGAGTGTGGTGTTAAACAACAAACATAACATCTTTTAATTTATATTTCACCATCCCAGGCATCCCACTGAGTTAACATTCTTACCATTAAAATGGTGTACCTTCTTCAGATGTTGCTAAGCAAAATTATGATAAATCGTTAAAAATACAACCATTTGTGTTAAAATAATACACCTTCTTATCACAATTGTCCTTAATAGGCAACCTCCTAAGTATGCACGGTTACCCTTAGATGTATTGTTAGCTATGTATATAATTCATATATACTAGCCACATAAAGAAACTGTGCACGGAGAAAATATATTCTGGATTAAAATACAACACAGCAAGAACAAAATGATGCAGACGCTGTAGCAGCTGAATGATCGGACCATAACAAAATGTCAACGGGACCTGAACAACATCTGTTACGATGACGTCAGAAGATCAAAATGGAGTAGGGGGTCATACGACAAAGTCACAACGCCAATAACGGGTATGACCACCCTGTGCGTGAATCACAGCAGTGCATCGGCGACGCATGGAGTCCACCAAATTGGCATGGAAGGCCTGGGGAATGGCCTGCCATATCCTCCTCAAATCCTGTGCCAAGTCACGGACGTTATCTGGAGGATGTGGAAGACGACGCAGACGGCGCTCCATTTCATCCCACACATGCTCTATTGGGGAGAGATCTGGAGAAATTGCAGGCCATGGCAGTAACATGACATTGTTATGGTGAAGGAAATCAATTGCGACCCTAGCCGTGTGAGGACGAGCGTTGTCCTGTTGAAATGTCAATCCCGGGCCATGACGTTGCAGGAAAGGAATGACCACAGACCTCAGAATCTGATCTCTGTAGCCAACACCGGTGAGATTGCCCTGAACAACCACCAAAGGGGTTCGGTGCCGTGCTGTTATCCCACCCCAAATCATCACAGAGCCACCTCCAAAACGATTCCTCTCCACAATACAGTTGCGTGCATAACGTTCTCCCAAACGCCGGTAGAAACGTTGGCGCCCGTCACTGTGGGAAATGTTGAACCTCGATTCATCAGTAAAGACAACATTCCTCCACCATATTCGAGGTTGGCGAACATGATTTCGACACCATCTTAGACGGTTGACTCGATGACGGTGTGTCAGGATGGGACGTATGGCAGGGCGTCGTGGTCGAATCCCGTACTGACGTAAACGATTTCTGACAGTGTTGGGATGGATAGAGCGCAGTCAAGGAATCGTCTGGGACGTCGTTACTGCCGTTTGGAACCTGTGTCGGAGATGTGTAACTCGAATCCATCTGTCCTGTCTTGGCGTCGTTACTCGGGGACGTCCTGAACGTGGGTGGTCGGCAACGTCATTTGTGTTCTGATAACGCCTCACCAATGCCGATATTGTGTTACGATGGCATTGGAAATGTGTTGCCACCTGTTGTTGCCCCATTCCCGCTCGAAACATTCCAATGGCTTCATGACGCTGTGCAGCTGTCAATCTTGGCATGATTAGCTTGTGATATGCTTGTGTCTGCGCCTGAGAAGTTTTGAATTTTTGAATGACCACAGATCATGCTTTCCAAAGTGACAGCGAATTTTGAGTTGCACATGCTGTGTACAGCTGCACAGGTTGCACGTGCAGTAACACATTGCACGTCCATAGGCCCCCATCAATGACGTCATATCGCATGGCACGTGCATGAGCGTTTGAATGTCTCCAATAATTGCTGTGTTCAAACCTATATTTCATATATTTCTCCGTGCACAGTTTCTTAATGTGGCTAGTATATTTCTATAGTTTGTGGGATGAACTGATTGGATGCACACACACAGAAGACATATTGTTATGTGTAAGTCATTTTAGTGGCGGTAGAAACTGTCGTAAATAGTTGTAGAAATTGTCAGCCGCAGCAATATGATTGAATTACTGGTAAAGTGCTGTTGTGGCCATATTTGAAACGTAGTCAATAGCAATGAATTGAGATTCCCAGAATGGTTTGTACGAGAATTAGAGTTATCTGCCCTTGTGGTGTGCAGGTTTGATCGTTCTAGAAGTTCCTGGATGGGACAGTTTCTGACCACTGACTGTACCTTTACAAGCGTCAAGAGGGCGTTTCAACCAGGCCTGTTTCTACTCTACTCGTCAAGTGCGGTTTTGATATCTTTTTGGAAATACCGATTCCTGCCAGCTTGCAACACTTTTCGGAATTGAAGAACTTAGACAGGCCTCTTTCAAGACATTCGACAATGACGATATTCTGAATATCAATGGGTTCATTGACGTATTGTTATTGTAAACCTAAAACTGGGTGTTTCAGTCTAACGTATTGATTACATACTAGCCTATCCGTATGTCAAAATATACAAACGCGGTCTATAGCAAATGAGGTGGGACATCGAAGTGGGTGTCAATGTAATAAAATGTAATAAAAAAAACCAAAAGGCTATACCTTCTTTAATTTTTCTACATCTTGATAAAAAAAACCGTCTCCATAAAATATTGTGAATATGTGAATTAATAATTTGCAGCTGAATGTAACCCATCCTGATGACCATTAACTTGTTCGTGTTTCTTGTCTTTATGTGATCTAAATTGTGAAATTAGATTTTATAATTTTTGGAAATCTAAATATTTTTATGGGGCCAAATGGTACTTTGCAGAGTTGACACGAACCATGATTGAAGCTACATGAGACCCTAAAATATTTTAATGTGGTGCTATGTCACAAACCTTGCAAGAATCCTTCCCTCCTTGTGGGTAGCCTGCACACAGCATGGACGAGTTGTGATAGTCAGTACCGTAGATACTTTCACATGTTTGCTGAGACATGACTGGCTTCTCCACTACTTGTAGCATATCTGATGGGGCACTCTCTGCAGATGCTTCCATATCACTAAGGTCATGCCACGATAGATTAACTATTGTAATATGAACAAGATACAAGCGACAAAAACCCTTTCCACATTCATAAGAAATATCTGTTAAAAGCAGAGTCGATTGTGCGATTTGGACTCTATCACTATCACTATCAAATATTAATGATACCAGGTGTTTGCGAAAATGTGGTGGCACCTGTCACAGACACATGCAAAGGCAAGTCATTTGTTCACCTAAAAGGGAAACACGGGGACATATGATCAAAATAGAGAATGGCATCGGAGCCCAATATTTTTCTGCTAACCTAATTTGACACCGTACACGGCAAAAACAGACACCATAACGAATTTAATATGCCTAAAACTTTACACTATTTGGCATCTTTACCGCACATGTCATGTCAAATTGAAAACTTAACACTTACAACCTGTATAAATGACAGTACATATGTTTCCGATACAACGCTTTAATGTAAACACAAACGTTAACCATGGAATATATAATGCACTAAATGTGAGCGTTTAAACAAATGTTATACCTAAAATGGATAGAATTATATAAAAAAATGCCCGCTCGTTATCAGAAATCTGTGGTCCACTGAAATTTGAAAGCAGTCCGATTTCCCTTACGACGGGCTGCTATCTATTCTATTGCTATGTGACGTCATTGGCGTCACGTTTCTTGTTTGTGACGTCATCCTATATTATGTTCAATGACGTTGTTATTTGTAAATCAGAGACCTGCGCTTTGAGCCTTTGTTTTGTATATTCTTTATAAATAAAGACACGAACGTGGTTTCTTCAAAAAATAATGCTCATGGCGATTGATGATATAAAAACAAAACAGTGTACCAGAATCTTCATGTGTAATAAGTGAGGTTGGTGTTGGAAAATCAAAAATGGCTGTAACTGACGGTATTCGGCCTCATATTAAGTCAGGCACAACCATCTTGGATTTTTACTGACAGTACACAAGCTCATATGGGGTTCGTAGTTCTGATCTCTGATTGGTCAATCTCACTTTGAGGCATAATGATATAATACAGAAGTGGGGCATGTCCCTGTTGTGCCGTAGAGGCATCTTTTGAATGTTCCAACCGAAACATTACTGCAAAGGTGCTAAAACAGAATTAACTTTCAAACTGAAAAGCAGTTCTGAAAATTATGTCACACACCATTTAGTCAGCAATGTAGGCACCTTCACTTATCATGAATCGTTGTTTTGTTTCCTTTACACGCTAGTAACCGTGGACATGTCATGAGCACCAAGGACGACTTCCAAATCGGATGATACTTATCCACTGGAACATAGAGCATGTTTTGGGGCAACCGTTCTCGGAGAAAACAAATACTATCCTCAAACCTCCCTGCACATTTGTTAAACGTTTCGTTCCTTATTCCAGTCCTTGGGGATACATACAATTTATAGAATTCACCACTTGTTAGAAGTATCATTGTTTACGGAACACAGTGATCCCCCCTGAGTATATACAATGTACCACTTGCTAGAGGTTACCATACTTACTGCAGACAGTTAGCCCCTGTGAGTATATACAGTGTACCACTTGCTAGACCATACTTACTGCAGACAGTGAGCCCCGGTGAGTATATACAATGTACCACTTGCTGGTGGTGACAATACTTACAACAGACAGTGATCCCCGGTGAGTATATACAATGTACCACTTGCTGGTGGTGACAATACTTACAACAGACAATAATCCCCGGTGAGTATATACAATGTACCACTTGTTAGTGGTGACCATACTTACAACAGAAATGATCCCCCGTGAATATATACA